TTAATGTAGGCATTAATAGTATTATGTTTTTCTTTTGCTTTAGAATGATCTTCGGTTAAACGTTAAAATCCAGATGTTAGCGTTGAGACAGTGAAGGTTTCCACTAAGATAACACATGAAGCAAACATGTTAAACTTCACATTTCACAAGCCATTCTCAATTTCAAAATTCGTTAATTACGAAGCTGTAACCTAACATGTCTTCACACTGCTACCTGGTTAAACGTACACAAATTCTCTACATTCTGCACCTACACTGCAGTGCATTTTATAAAGGCGTCGGAAGGACTCAGGTTCAAGTCCCGGCCCAAAGACCGGCTATCCTGACAGGTTCTTTGTGGTTTCCCTCAGTCCCTCCAGGAAAATGTCATTATAGTACCTTAAATTAGACCACGAACGTTTCCTTCCACATCTTTCCCAATGCATTATTCACCATCATCCTCTCACTCCAAGCTACACAGTCAAGAACTACTGAAAAACTATAGTTAAATAAAATATAAATAAATGAATATAAAGGCATAAAAGCGTGACTGATGATGATAAAACGAAAATTACGATGTACATTAATATTTCCATCAAAATCATGTAGTCACTAGTGTTTACATGGAATTCGCTTCAAAAACTTACTTAATATGTCGCGAAGAAATGCTTGTTTTATCAAATGCAATTTATTCAAATCAGTCCTCACTGAAATAAAAATTTACATTCTAAAAATATTACAGTATAATCTAATTACTACAATACTACACTGGACTATACTACACCGTAGTAGACCCAATAATACCACACTGCACTGCACTACACTACACTGCATCTAGGTGCTGCAAGCGGTCTTTTATCTTCAGGCTTTAAGACTAAAATTTTGTATATACTTCTCATCCTCCCCAAGAGTAATACAACCCCTGTTTTTATCACCCTACATCGTGAAAGGTGTAAATTATGAAGCAGCAATTTTTTGGTCTCCTGTTTTTCCTCTCTCTTGAGTCCGAATATTTCCTTCAGCAACCTATCTCCACACAACCTGAATCTGTGTTTTTCATTTTAACTGATGGATCTTAGTCTCGCACTTCGCAAAGTAACAAGTAACATTTCTGTTCCGTACATTTAAATTTTCACTTTTTAGACAGGGGGCTAGAAGGCAAGACATTTTGATTGAGTTTCAGAAATTATTCTCCGAATTTAACATGCTGCTAGCTGGCAAACTACAGGACATCAAACACATTATTAACACGTTCATACAATCACAAATTACAGCCAATATTACACAACAATGGCTAGAGTACGGGAGAATACGGGTTAGACACGCAGTTCAGATGTTGGTAGTTTAATCTACCGAGTTCGTAGAGAAAGCGCTCTCTTCGTTTAGTCCAGTGGGCCATGAAAGACGCTAAACTGCTTTCATTTATATCGGCATCAGCAGCAGCCATACGAGTGGAAGACTGGGGGATGCACAGAAGGTTACGTATATAGCCACTCAACCAGCAGAATAAAACCGAGGCAGAAAACATCGGATCAAGTTCTTGGCAAGAAATAAAGTTTAAACTTGTTCAGGCGTCTGTCTCCCTGCCCCGTCCTTCTCTTCTAAGGTCCTCGTTTACGGTTCGTATCTCTTTATATTCCACAAGTCTCAGCGCGTTCGGTTTGGTTCGTATCTTGACACAAAACAACGGAGACTAATGGTTACTCCATACAGAATAATTCGTGGACAGCCAAGTTTAAGAATGTCAAAATTATTTTGAAATTCATTGACAGTCATAATATTCATAATGAAATATTTGTAGAGATCGGAAAAGCAAAATCTGTACCTCTATTTGTTCTCGTTTGATTTCGATTTGGTTCAGACAAACATTGTTTAAGAATATGGCTGTCTTATGGGTTGTAGCACCGTGTAGGTCCTTGATGTATAATGAATTCTTCCCTTGGCTACCAGCCACCAGACGCGGCTGGTAGCACCAGAATAATTCATTATGCTTAGTCACCGTGAAAGCTTGAAATCATAAGTCCTTGATGGTTCCGTTATCAGGGTGATTCCCTGACCATAAAAGGAACATTGACTTCTGAGACGCTGCTAAGCTACTACCGGACTACAAGACGCTACAACCCAGGAGTCAGCCAACTTTGTCTTCATCACTGTGAGAACCTCAAATCCTACATCGTTTAATTGCATCAGTAATAAAGACTGAATTAGAATAATAAATCCATAATTCATTCAATTGTATGAAACGTATGTTTAATGAAATATCACGTGCAGCGAAATGAAATTAAAATAATCGTGTATATTCAAGACTATCTTGTCATTCGAATTTACAACAAGTTGGCGGGGCGGCCAAGACCACAAAAATTCAAGTCTGCCTCGTTAGCGCTAATATAGCCTGCTAGGTATCATCGTAGTTACGTGTCATCGAAAACAGGCGTAACAAGATTCTGATTCTCAGACATCCGAAGACGTAGCGCATTCATTACAAACCAGCTGCAATGGGGGACGCCGTGCTAAGTTCCTAAACATAACGCATTACGGACTCGTCAATTCTATCCGCCTGCATGTTTCGTCTCTGAAACAAAGAATAAGTTGTCTAAATCGTCGCTTGGGTATAGGCCTATTTTTAGTCCGTACCGGGCTGAATACGAAGCTCAAATTAAACGTACGTTGATATGTGGCTATAATAATTAGTACATGGCGTAAGTATTCTACATTTCATTAATAAAAACTTGCACAACTTCACTTACAAAAATTATTTGATTCAATTCCCGGTTGATAAAAAATCGGACGTACCGGGACGATACTCACTTGAGTTTGTATAGTGGTCTCAGAAAAAACCTTAAGAAACACAATAAAGATATGTAACTATCCTTTATATGAGCCGGGATAGCTCAGTCAGTATAGTGACTAGCTACGGGCTGGACGACCGGGGTTCGATCCCAGACGGGGGCAGAGGATTTTTCCTCTAGCCTCTGGGTCCAGACCGGCTCCGGGGCCCACCCAGCCTTCTCTATAATGCCAAACGCCTACATGGCGTATAGTGGGACAAACTTTACTTTTACTTTAACTATCCTTTATTCGTATCAGCATCCAATACACCTCAGCGCTTACTCACTAACAGGCTAAATACGAATTAGTATGCAATAACACTTTAAACACGGCACAAAAGTTAACAGACAACCGGCTTATGTATATATGAGTACCCCACTAATGTTATATTCCGATAACATCAAAAGCTGACATTTCCGATGGGCTGACAGATTAAAGCGATGACAATAGTGATTTTACGGAGCTCCAGGATATTAAATTAATTTATTTCATTTTCCGCTCCGTTTGATAATTTTCGTCTATGTAAGCTCAGAGCAGTTAAGCAACAAGTACCTTACTTCATGAGGCTTATGTTGAAACAAAATCAGAATGCTACCAAAACATAAACCCATCCACACGTATACGAAATACAGATTGCTTAAACTGATATTACATATGATTTGAATAGAACCGTAGACATCTTCGACTGAAAACTGTACAAGGAGAAAAATTCTGTTTGTTCATTCATCAAAGAAATTATTTTCTTCCGCACTTAAACGACTAGAATGACTAACGCTGTAACCACGAGTTCATGATCATTTTGCCTGCAAACACATTACACTTAATGCTGGATTTTTCCAATATACAAGAAATTACAATAATTGAACACTGTACAGTTTCGGAATAAAATATTACACACATATTTCACGCCTCTTTCATTAACTGCACTATGTTCGGTGCCATAATTTTAAAACTGCTTACAACAGTAAATTCTTGAAATCACATGTTTCGTCCACTGTGGATGTCACACAAGCAGTCACATTAACTTCAGTGTAACAGAGTAACTTACTGCACACATACAGAACTACAATTTTCCTGCTTATTATACATCGTCTCTTACCCTACAGTAAATATATAGATAAGGGGCAATAATATACTGTGGTATCCTGTTGTGGGGATTTATGCAAGTAAATATTCTAGTAATAATCGTATATCACTACCGTCGCATACAACTATATTATTAATCATCATCACACAAGATTACAAAAACCTTAGCACAATTTTTGGACCAATACCTTCATTCCCAAACACAAATATAGAGTATATTCAAGGGAGATCTGTAATCGTTCCATTAATATTGTTGTGACTGTGTAAATTACATGCAATTTTATTACGTAATTGGATTATACAATTTTCCACAATCTAGCTCTCACAAAATATTCGGCGTAGTTGTTTCTACATTCGCCTTTAAGCGGGAGGGCAATACCTACTCTGTTAGACTCCTTGGTCCAGCTAGTTTCAACCTCAGTTCAACGTTGAGGTTGGACTGGTTGCCTAAAGACGGAAGGCAAACCAACTTACGAAACGCTGTGGTTTTAATCAAAAGAAAATTAGTCGATGGTTAAGTCCGACAGAAGAATTACATCAGCAAGGAACGTTTCAACTGCACACAAAATTAATGTTTCTGATAATTTTACGCACTCAAGCCAGCTTTCTTAAAATTTCACTTACGGGTTCATTTACGGTGATGTGAACAGTATTTTAATACCCTGTCTGCTTAAACAGTAAGCACATCCATACGTAATACGCTCACATTTTCACTTATATTCGAATTTCTTAAGTTCCACACAACGGATGCAAATACAATGACTATAGTTTATCAGCACTCAACTACCGGTATGATACAAATGCATTAACTGCTGTGGTCACAAAATTTCATGCTTCAAGGTCAAATCAAAATATTACAGCCGTGCAACATGAACAGCAGACGTCACGTAAATGAACCCAGCTCAGAACTCGCCGCGTAGCGAAGCTAACAACGCCATGCTGTTGACTCAAAGCCGCGCGTTAAGAGCGGAGGGCTCCTTCCGTGACCTTGAAGCATGCAATTTGGTGACGTCTACAAAAGCCTCATAACACCGTGTCAATTTGTTCCTGCTTAACGTCTACTCTTCAAGCCGCTAGAGAGAAATTATTCAATTTTCTTCACTCACCTTGTCTGACGGCGCAGTGGACCTGGAGTAGGACGCAGCCAATGAAAATCAGCCACGTGGTCCTCGTCATCGCGTCACATCACGGCCTACTCTCGTTTGTCACATGTAGGTTCTGGTTCCCGATTCTCACACGTCTCATTGTGAGAAGCTGGACGGAGGACCACAGGCTCTGTGAATCCAAAATTAATATATTTCATTAAGCATTCTTCACACAGTCGATAGTTGAGGCGGTAAGGTGCTTTGAGAACTTCTCTTCATCGTCCGGTAACTAAGTGCGTATCACTGTGCCGCCTACGAGCCGTGAAATGGAAAATTACATAGAGTACGCTGGAGGAAGTGCATGGTTGGATAACATCTGAAATTACAAGTGAAATATTCTCGGTTAACTCCTAGTTTAGCACGTACCTACACTATTTCATATTATACAAACAATGTTCCCTGTCGTACGCTGTGCGTTAGAATTCTGATTATAATCGTAGTTTATAAAATTTACGATGGGTGAAACAGGTTCTGTGTGTACTTTCAGGCGTTGATTTATCGTTTGGGTATAACTAGTCGGATAAGGTAAACTGAAGATTCAAGGAGAAATCTCAAGTTTTCAGATGTGCTCGGGAGACATCTTGGTGGCCCTGTTACCATTCTTCCTCTAATAAGCAAACTACTTCTGTATTAACCTCCGTATTGACTGAAAAAATGTAAGGTAGATGTCTGAAATGTATGTCATGATTTTATAGGGTTTACAACTAGAAATTCAGACAGTAATTAATGACAGGTATTTGGACGGCTTATATTTTTAAATGATTGGGGATTTTGAACTACTACATTCTGATCTGTGAACAAAGTCAGCAGTTCCAACGATAACAAAAACAGGAGAGGCAAAAATTAGGTTTTTGCCATTTGACCGGCAACGGCTCATATTTAGGGCCAACCGGTTTTTTAGAACACGTCGTTTGTAATACACACAAATTTAAAGCACTAACTGCAGTTGTAGTGCATTTTACGACTAAGAAACAAATTTAATGTAAATTAATTTGTCAGTTCCAGTTCTATGGCAGAAAAATTATGCTGCATTAATTTTGAATGTCGCGTGTTTTACAACAAAGTAAGCATTTTTAATTATATTTTCTCAATGTCGTCCAAATATTCCCAAGTTTCGTGCTTCTGAGAGAATAAATCTGTTACAATATAACCAAACCCATTTAAGTGTAAAATATTCACCATTATTTGCAGTTAACACAAATTCCAAATACAAATGACCGACATTTTAATCATGAGGACGATGGAACAAGTTTTAGTGAGATCAAGTTTCAACACCAACGTCAAGTCATAAAATAATAGAAAAACATACATCGTGAATTTATGTGCAGTATATTTGACGACGTCTTTTCAGTAGCTCACACTACGAAACTTCCATTGAGAGCATAATAGTGAATAACGAATTGAAAAGGATGCGAAAGGAAGTGGCCGTGGCGTAATTTAAGATACAGTCCCTGAATTTGCATAGAGGGACAGAGGAAAACCACGAAAAACTTCCATCATGACAGCCGGTCTTTGGGCCGACATTTACGAAACAAGAGTGCTAACCACTCGATCACGTCGTTCGTTTCAGAACTTTAAAACATATTCTCCATAAACGAAAAACAAATACAACCAAAACAACAATAAAATATCAACGTACAACAATAACAACTCTGGATCATGTACCCAAACGCTATCAGCACTGAAAATTCAACACAAAGAAAACAAGACAAAGAAACTTAACATAAAAAAATATATATATACAGATTTATAGTATGAAAACGGATATTAGGATTAACAAATAGTAATCTCTAGCTGCAACTGATACATAAGACTTGTCTCATATTTCGCACAAATTATAAATTAAATTACATATAAGAGATAAACCAACAAGGTATTCATTATGTCCCTAAATCATGAAATGTTAAATATACATAACTGGTAATTGGAATACTCGAATTGGTTATGCAGGATGGATTTCTTTCTGTCTGACCGCCGAGCCCCGACCCGCAGAGCTGCTTCACGGATATCAGTCGGCGAAAGTAAGTCTAATTTGCGTGCACTCATCGTACATCAAACACCGATCTTTTCGTAACAAAGAGACGGTTCATGAATAAGAGTTGGATTTTTTGCATTCTAATACCCACTGTTCTGTGAATTCGCCACTCTCCGTAAGAGAAGCCAGATCACATTACGGAAGAAACTGCGAATTAACTTCTACATGAAAATATTGCTTGGATTCTCAGTGTGAATATGCATTATATATAGCCATTTATTCTTATTTGGAAACTACTTTTAATTGTAACGTCATGCAATAATACTTCACATTTTCGTGATGTCTTGCACGCAACTATAAAAACCCTTCTGCAAAATCCACCATAATAAACCGAAATTTTCTTTCACTAACATCAGAACATTCATGCTCTTGGTTTCTTCTCTTGGCCTTTGTATGTAAACACTCTGAGCTACCATCGACCCAAGAAGCATCTTTAGATAAATTTCAATCAAAAGAGGGAGATGAAGTTATAGAACATCCTACTTTACTTTTTTGTAATTCTCATAATACTCTATAAAGCATTCAAGCACATATACCCTCATCTTTCAAAGTCTGCAAAGACCAATGATACTTCATATCCCTTCTGTATAAATGACAATTTTATTTATCCCTTCCGTTCGATTATCTTATTGCCATTTACAAGTCGTTACTGAACTGCTCCTGTCGTAAACTTCTTCTCATCTTTATTTTTAAGAATCTGACTGCTTCATTTATTTCGGGTAAGGAGGTGTATATTATGAATCTCATGAAGATTACTTTTAAAACATATTCACAAAAATGTAATATCTGCAAGTAACCGTTCCAAATGCCATACGTTCACACAAGATTGAAAAGTGATAGATTTATGATTGATTGGTTGGAAGATCGTTTATAACATTGTACTGACACATTCACCGCGGTTCATTAAACAAGACCTACTGTGGTTCATTTATAACTATATAAGATTATAACAAAAATATTTTCCATAAAATATACCCGTCCATCGCTTCCGTTTTGCCTACCTGCATGGTACTTGCTAGGATAACGTAAGACACAACGCTAACCATAATAGCGTCACATCAATACAACAATTTTTTATTTGTTAGAACATACACGACAGCTTTATAAAGAATGATGAAAATGTACATCACTTTCTAAGAGAAAAGCACCCGCCATTTTTAACGTGTTTTGTGCTATTTTGCGAGCTGTTTCTAGGTCAGTTTTTTCTGTTCGACACTGCTTCACTTCTTCGGTTATTATAATTAACTCCTTTCAAAAATCTCATAGATAGTAGTCTAGCAAGGTTTGGTCTGGAGATCTCCATGGCCAAGACCAATTCCAAAAATGCGTGCTGTGTTCTCAATATGGTCTCTGCCTTATCACGCTGAAACCAGTACTTCCTTTAATTTTCCTCCAACAGAGAAATAAACTGAGTCACTAGATTCTGACACCGTTCTACTTTGTCTTCCCAAAAACAACGTTCCCACAATTAGCGTTCGAGACTCTGCAAGCCACACGCCAACCCTCAATGAACGCAGAGGACATGCTTCACGAACAGCACCACATTGTATGCGAAGTAATATTTTATATATAAAAAGCACGTTCCACTCGTGTGACCAGACCGTCAAAGCAGGACAGAGCGACACAAACAGACGCGGACAACTTGAGCGGGATTCAAACCCACGATCCCAGTGCCGAAGTAAACAAGGCTCACAACTTAGACCGTGCGGCCACTGTGACCACACCTTTTAAAATCATTATGAATTATTAAGCAAATCAAGCCCATAAACAACAAATCAAAAATTCCCATATACGAGGCGCGTCCCAAAAGTAAGTTTCCCACTCGTCCCACAGCTAGCAAACCTTATATTGAGCGAAGCTACTGTGCGTACGTGATAGAGCAATGACGTAGCATGGCGCATGCATTAACGGTACTTCCCGCTTTCTCACAGTAGCATCGTTGCAGCTGTTGAAGATGGAGGTTCTTATTCCAGCTCCCGCCGACTGTGAAGTGCGGTCAGTGATAACGCTAGGCCGCACACGGCTCGACGGACAGCAAGTCTCCTGCAGGAGTTCAGCTGGGAGGTGTTTAATCATCCACCCTACAGCCCGGACCTCGCTCCCAGTGATTTCCATCTTTTCCTACACCTCAAGAAATTCCTGTCCGGTCAGCGTCAGCGTCAGCGTTTTGAGAATGACAGAGAGGCGGAGATGGCTGTCACACAGTGGTTCCAATCCCGAATCCATAAACATAATAGGTCTTTAGAAACTATGGTTTTGTATTAAATTAAGAAGTGAAACAGAAACATCAGACATTTTGTTACATGTGATCTAAGCTGTTGTAGTTCGGACAGTCGTGCGAAGTTAATTTGCAGCTGCGTCCTTTATGGTGTATCACGAAATGTTTAAATAAACTGTATTAAACCCACCTCAGTCTAACCTGTGTACAAACTACTGTTCTTGCAGACTCTTTGCTTTACGCATAAGAGGACGATTACTTGTGTTCAGTGCTCTTTTAGAAAAAGTCGGGGTCCGTTTGGAATTAGGGAACGGGGAACAATAAGTGCATGAAAATATGCCTATGCATCATAGTTCCTTGTTTTATGTGATATAATATCGAGGTTGGCTTCTATCTGCAAGAGGTTCCGCACAGATTGGATGCTTTTGCTTAATGTTCGAGGCGCTTAAGCAATTTTACAAAAGGAAACTCCCTACCCATTCTTTTCTATCAAGAATAAAAGTTGAAAGAGATCACAGAATATCGTTTTGGAAGCTGTTATATGTATGAATGCACATATTCTGCGAAGAATGTTCACCAGGAAACAGCAGTAAAAGCTGGCAATAGAGTATCTAAGGTTAAAAGGTTTTCTGTTAGTACAGACCTTCTCAAATAAAATCGTTTAATTTCAGCATGAAAAAGGAATCGATATTTTAAATAACATAATTCACCATTTAGTTTCGAGAGATTATAAACTTTTTCTTGCTCAAATATGTCAACATTCCCTTTATTAGCGCTGCATCTGCCATACATATTTGTAAATTGAGTTTTCTGTATAGGCCTATACGTAACACATGAACTTGCCTCAATTGACATTTCTAATGAAAATAATACTACAGT